CTCCTGCACCTCGGGGAGAGCCCGGGCTGTCTCGGGGCTGGCGGGCTGGTTCCCGGAGATCCTCACGGGGCGCCCCAACATCGTCAGGGACACTTCGCCAGGGCTGGGGACCGCGGGCGCATGGTGAGTGGCGGGGAGAATAGGACAGAAGGGGAGCAGAATAGAGGAACCGTCTCTGTGGAACCCTCTGGCACCCTAGTTTTCTTCCCGCAGGCTTTGCTCATCCAGCGTGAATCTCTGAGTTGGTTCCTCTCCTCGCTTCGGGTGATCCCTCCGCGTGGCTGGTCCAGAGGATCTGGATCCGGCGGGTCACAGGCGGGGACACGCTGGTCGGCGAATGGGCCGGGCATCCGGCTTTGCCCGACAGACTCGCTCCCTCTCGCAGGGCACGACCCACGCTTCTCTGTCCCCGGCCGATCAGTCTGTGGGGGTTTGGGGTCTGGAGTGAGAGTGAAAGGCGACCGGAGGGAGGACACACCGGGTGCAGACGCCACTGGGACTTGAACTTCACCTGTCTGGGTCTTTACGCTGTGCACGCAGCTGGTGGACGCGCTGTAGGTCGGAGTGTCCCCGACACCTGTGAGACTAGCGCCTTGTCAAGGTGGCTGCTCTTGTCCCACACTCACGTCCTTCACTCTCAGGGACTGACAAACCCTGCTGCCCTGTTTGGTCGCTTCTTGCTCCCAATACCCTGCGACCCCTGCACTTGGAGTCGTTTGCAGGTGTGCAGGGAGGGAGGGAAGACGGCCTTCGCGGGTGGTAGGACGCCCCCATTCAGTGGGCCTTGGGATCCTGGTTCTTCTTCCCCCCTCTCAGTGACACCGTGCACCCCGAGGTGGCCTGTCTCCTGAGGGCTCCCTGCAGACTTCATTTCCTCTCCCTTGGGCCTCTTGAGGCTCGGAAAAGATAACCTCTCAGGCAATGAAGGACAGCTGAGGCCTTGGGCCCTCGGGGGTCTTAATGACCTCCCGCCCCACCCCACTCGGGAGCTCTTTTCAGTTGAGCCAGGCTGTTTTCATTTAGAGCAGTCCTCTCCCAGAGGACACAAACCCTGATGACAAGCTGTGGTGTCTCCTAGTCAAGTTGGGCAGCTGAGTGCCTGTTGAAGAGGGGAGCAGCTGGTCTGAAGTAGCAGGGCGAGTTGGAGATAAAGGGCTCCTCCAAGGAACTGGAGAGCTGCAGAATTCCCTCCCCACCTCAGCCTGTCATTCCCTCACTGGCTTCCCACCCAGCCCCCGCTGTGCCTCAGCCCCTGTACTGGGCAGGGGAATTTGGTTTGCAGGATGTTTGGGCCTCGGAGAGCATAAACCACTGGCCTAGCATGACTCAGGCTGTCCATGTGAAATGGCTTGGGCTAGGACAGAGGAATCTGTGCCCTGCTTTGGAGGAAAGATCATTTCTCACCCCGTGGATGGGATAGCCCTGGGACCACCGCAGAAGCCTGGGACAGCCAGCCTTGGAAAACTTTTAGCGGACCCTTGGTGAGGGTCCAACCAGCCCTGGACCCTGAGAAGGGGTCAAAGGTGCACTTCTTTCCTGGGTGTCCTGGAGTTCAGTCCAACCGATGCCCAGTCCTTTCTGACAGCTGAGCAACTAGTGGAGGCCTTGAAGCTTCCAGGTCTCATGCCCCCACTCCCTGTCACCCAGGGATGTTTGTGGGGGGAGCTCTGGAGGAACACTGCCTGCATGCTCACCAGTGGTCGTGTCTCCTTTCAGGGTCCTGGACGGTGTCAACATTCCCCAGGGACGTGAGCAGGGCCCTAGGCTCGCTGACCCTGTGGGATCCCAGTCTACAGAAGCTGAAACCCACTCATCCCTGCCCCCAACCTCTGACACTCGCCACCTGCACGCCACCATGGTAGCTCAGAGCAGAAACACCAGTGTTACACCCAGCTTTAATCCATCCCAAGACCATGGCTCCTCGCTCTCCTTCAACTTGAGCTATGATGATTATGACCTCCCTCTGGGTGAGGATGAAGACATGACCAAGACCCGGACCTTCTTCGCAGCCAAGATAGTCATCGGGTTGGCACTAGCAGGCATCATGCTGGTCTGTGGCATTGGCAACTTTATCTTTATTGCTGCCCTTGCCCGCTACAAGAAGCTGCGAAACCTCACCAACCTGCTCATTGCTAACCTGGCCATCTCCGACTTCGTAGTGGCCATCGTGTGCTGCCCCTTTGAGATGGACTACTACGTGGTACGCCAGCTCTCCTGGAAGCATGGCCACGTGCTCTGTGCCTCTGTCAACTACCTGCGAACTGTCTCCCTGTACGTCTCCACCAATGCCCTGCTGGCCATCGCTGTTGACAGGTGAGGACGGTGAGCAGGGCTAAGTGGAAGGAGCCAGCTGAGCTGCCCCTTTTCTCACTTAGTCTCCGACAGGCTGGCTTGGCCGGACTTAAATGCTCAGTGATCTGTGAAAGGGTAGGGAGACTTTGATTCTGTGGCTGTGCTCTGTTCCCTCAAATATGAGTAAGGAGGAGGTGCCTGCATCCCCCAGTTTAGGCCTTGTCCTCAGAGGTAGGCATGCATGCAACCAGTGCATGGCACCAAATACGAGGAAAAACAGAGTACCCAGTCACTGCTTAGAAACCGCAGGAGCCTTAATTAACGAGGGCAGCTTCCAATCAAGACCACAGGTACCGTAAGTTTTTCCTCGATCCAGAGAGAGATATAAAACATTCCTACCTACTAGAAAACTTCCTTGTGCCCTTGAACCAGTCCGCCTCCCCCTAAGGAAACTATGGATCTGATTTCTATCATCATAGCTCCTCACATAATTCTTCCTGTTCTTTAACTTCATAGAAAAAGGAATCTTTTAGTATTTAGTCTTGTTTCTGGTGAGTTTGTTGCAGGTTTTTAAATAAGATACCAGGGTTTGCTTGCAAAAAAAGGGAAGGACATGCTTGCTTTTGCTTTTTGCATAATCTGTGTGCTTATTTGCATAGATTTGCATAAGATGTTCCAGAAGTCCTTGCTCTATTATAAATCTATAAGATAAAATTTATAATGGCAGCTGATGACAAATCTTACACGTTTCATTTATGCCAAGTTACAGCCTAGCATCAGATCACCAGTGACTGAGGGGGCAGTTGATGTCACATCCTTTTTGAGCTGTGTAAAACCTCCTTTTGATAAGGAGCTTAATCATCTTTTTTTTCCCCCTTTCATCTCCTTTCAATGCTTCCGTTTTTCCTGTGTTGTCAGTGTCATTTAGGTTTTTTTATCCTTTTTAATCAACCAGTTTATTATTTTCCATTTATGGTGACAAAATGCACACACAGGTACAAGGTGCATCTTCCTTTTCATAGCATAACAGCTGGAGGAAATGCAATTTTATTGGAGTTGCGAGGCTCTCTATCCCTGGTTTATGAATTCCACACTTACCAACCAGTTGAGCAACCCCCCAGAGAAAATAACACAAAGGATCATCTGATAAAATGACTTAATTCCTGCCGCCCCAAGTCTCCTGAATGGGACTGTCTTGGGAAGGGCCTGAGAAATCTGCATTTTTATCCAACCCTTTGACTCTGATGTTTGCTAAAGTGAGAGTGATCTCTGTTCTCTCTTGTTCAGTTGTAACCTTTGTCTTCATGACGTCAACTTTTTTGTGTGTTGTCTTGTTCACAACACTGGACTCTCTTAGGAGGGAATCATCCTGCTCCAACGCAGCAGACAACAGACAGGGTCCTCTTTCATCCCAGACCAACCCTGCCGCAGGTTGCCTCCCAGCTCCATGGGCAGTGCCACCAGTGAGCCCATGGAGGGCTGCCTTGCTCCCCACCCTACCCCACCAAGCTCGCCCCCATGTTCAGCCCTATACCAACTCCTGGCAGTCATTCCTCCAGCCCATCTCTTAGCAGGCCGTGTCTGGACCATGATAATGCTCTTCGGACCTGCCTTCCATTCCTCAGGGACTCCTTCCTGGTGCCAGTCATCCATACTCATCCATCGGAAGCATCAGAATATCACCACAGATGGGGCTTTCTGAAGATCCATTGCACTGCCTATAAAATCTCTAGACATTCCAGGGCCCATAGAACACATGCCAAATCCTGAGCCTAGCATTCTAGCCCTTTCTAACCTGATGGCAGCCTGCTTTCCAAACTCAGGCTGTATGTGGAGAATCAGGTCGTCTTCCAAAAGACAGTGTGTTTGGAAAACAATAACTGCATCTCTTCTCTTTCTGCCTCCACAGTGCTGGCACAGAACCTTACACCTGTGTCTTAGTTTGAGTTATTCCCGGACACTCTGAGACAAGGATCCATGCCCAGGTCATGCCACGATGGGCCTGAAGGGCCATGGGAAGTGAGGCAGGGGAGGGAAGGCAGTCAGCACCAGGTACATTATTAAGCAGGTTTCCACTGGGGGCAACTAGAGCTCCTTCCTGCTGAGGGAGGATTTCAGCCAACGTGAATCAGACCTGAGAATTCTCCCAGGAGAAGTATCTATGCACCATCTCTCGTGAGCCTCTGCCAAAGCCTGCTCCGGTAGCCAGGAAGATCCTGGAAGCAAGAGAAAGCCTTCAAAGAAATGCAGGTATGGGAGACGGCACAGGCAGGTGTATGGTGGAGCCAGGGCCACTGACAACATCTGCTGCAACTTGACAAATCCAGAGCGACTGGGCTGCCGTATGCCCAGACTGATTCTTCCACATAAAGACTAGCATTTGTGAAACGCAAACAGTAGTCAAGAGGTAGTAATTCAAAAATGCTAGGCATTTTTGGGGGGAGTGGTACTCAGCCTTCATACTGAACTACGTCCCAAGTCCTTTTCTCAATTTTTTTTACTTTGAGATAAGGATTTGAAATTACTAATGGACTTGAATTTGCAATTGTCCTGTCTCAGCCTCCTCGAGTGCTGGGATTACAGGTGTGTGCCATCACGCCTGGCATAAATGCTGGGTTTTATTGCAAGAAAACCTGTCTGAGAAGCTTATAATTCATAATAGAAAAGGGCTGGGGATTTAGTTCAGTGGTTCCAGTGCCTGTCTCGCAAGCCAAAAAGCCCAAGTTCAATCCCCGAAACAAACAAAATAATAATATCAGCCTCCTCGAGTGCTGGGATTACAGGTGTGTGCCATCACGCCTGGCATAAATGCTGGGTTTTATTGCAAGAAAACCTGTCTGAGAAGCTTATAATTCATAATAGAAAAGGGCTGGGGATTTAGTTCAGTGGTTCCAGTGCCTGTCTCGCAAGCCAAAAAGCCCAAGTTCAATCCCCGAAACAAACAAAATAATAATATAATAAGTTTATAACTATTGAGAAGAAGGGTCTCACAGTTGGGCCTTTGGGGTCAGACAAAGCTCAAAGTTGTAAAGGCAGCAGATAGAACTTCAGGCCGTAGAATACAGGAGCTTAATAAATAGCACTGCTTTACCTCCACCAGATTCTAAACCAATTCTAAACCAGGTAAATGATAAGATGAGAGGCAAATTCTCATTTTTAAAAATCTTTATTAAATATATTGGTACATTTTAGGAATACAATACAGGTAACATTCATCATTGGGATCTTGTACAAGACTTACCTTGGTCCTTATTTTTCCCCATTCCCCAGCCCTCCCTTCAGACCCTCCACCCTTCCTTATTTACAAAGACATTCTTTCCATGTTTTTCTTTTCACATATTATTTCTTTTCCCTTTTCCCATACCCCTCCCACTTCCTCTAATCTTTTAGACTTTACTTCCTATTACACTATATCAATTATACATTTTGATCCTTATTTACACTTTTACTTTTTCGTGCCAGAGAAACTATTCTAATTTACACATGTGACTTATTAATTTCACTTAAGAGTATGTCCTCAATGTGCATCCACTTCTCTATAAATATCTCTAGTTTTTCATTCTTCATGACTGAGTAGTACTCCATTTTGTTTTAAAAAACCATCTTCTTTATCCAGTTTCCAGTTGAGGGAATTGGACCGTTTCCAGCTATTACAAAGTGTGGCAGTATAAACGGGGGGAGCATATATCGCTGTGGTGTGATTCTTTAACCTGATGATGCTGATTTTGGGAAATGGGCTTTGTGGGGAGCATGGGGACCACTGCATGCTTGAGCCCAGAGAGAGATAGCCCCACATCCCCTGGGAGAAGCACAGGGTTCCCACATACCCCATTTACCCTTGGTTAATACCCAGTATCTCTACTACATAGAGATGTCAGGACAACCCAGTGCCGTTTCTGAATCCTGCAGCCAGAGAGCAGCCAGGCTCAAGCTGCAGAGAGTGGAAGGAAATTGTTGGCCTCAAGAAACTCACCCAGATAGATGGCAGCAGGGACCTTGCAGATGTCTCTCTTGCCAATGAATGAGTCATGGGAAGTGATAGCTTCCAGCATGTATTATGTATGTGGACTCTCTTGGAACCTGACAGAACCCTTGATAGATTGTCGATAAGCTTATTACCCCCATTGCACAGATGCAGAAACTAAGCCCCAGGAGCATAAATGATTTATCTAAGTGTGCAGCTTAGATCCGGGCTTTCTAAATAACTCCTAGATCAGTGTTCTTTTCTTTGTGATTTATTTAACGACAACTCCGAATTTTGGAACATCCTGCAAAATACAGAAAGTGTTGTTAGTGCCAAATGTGGTGGCACAGACCTGTACTCCCAGTACTCAGGAGGCTGAGGCAGGAGGATCGCTGTGAGTTCGAGACCAGCCTGGGGGTACGCCCGGCTCTGAAGTAAAGAGTTTTGAGAGTATCATGTTCATGAGAAAAAGGCCATTAATAATAATAGGTCCCATGTGTTTACTAAACACCTACTGCACACCAAGAATTTTATATTCTCTGGCCTGGGATTTAGCTCATTGGTGCCACCACCTGCCTCACAAGTACAAGGTCCCGAATTAGATCCCTGGTACAAAAAAAAAAAAAAAGAGTTTTACATTCTCATAGTTAATGAATATTCACAGCCACCGTGCAAGTTAGGCAGCATTTAATCCCAGGCTACACTGGACAAAACAAATCTCAGAGAGATTGGGTAATTTGCCCAGACCCCTAAGCCAGTCCAGAGAAAGCCAGAATATACTTAGCCGTTTTGGCCGAAACCCTGTGTTTGTTTCTACTAAATAACTCCACTATCCCACGGGCCAGCTGATGTAGCAAATATGCAATGAAGCTGGTTAAATCTGAGTAAGGGGCCCTTGGGGGTTCATAGTGCCATTCTGTCTGCTTGTGTGTGTGTGTGTGTGTGTGTGTGTGTGTGTTCAGTAACGAGTTGTGTATGGTGCTGCACATGTTTAATCTCAGCACACTGGAGGCTGGGACATGTTTATCTCAAGTTCGAGCCTAGCCTGAGGAACTTAGTGTCTAACAAAAAGGGCTGGGGATGTAGGTCAGTGCAGAGGCCAAGTTCAATCCCTACTGCAAAAAAAAAAGAAAAAGAAAAACATCCCAATGTTAATAATGTTTCCGAGTACACATCTTTATGATCGTTGGCTGCCCTCCCCACCAGATATCTGGCCATTGTCCACCCCTTGAGACCACGGATGAATTACCAAACGGCCTCCTTCCTCATCGCCGTGGTCTGGATGGTCTCCGTTCTTATCGCCATCCCATCGGCCTACTTCACGACAGAAACCGTCCTCTTTATAGTCAAGAACCAGGAGAAGATTTTCTGCGGCCAGATCTGGCCAGTGGACCAGCAGCTCTACTACAAGTCCTACTTTCTCTTCATCTTTGGCCTGGAGTTCGTGGGCCCCGTGGTCACCATGACGCTGTGCTACGCCAGGATCTCCCAGGAGCTCTGGTTCAAGGAGGTCCCCGGCTTCCAGACCGAGCAGATCCGTAAGCGGCTGCGCTGCCGCCGGAAGACGGTGCTGGTCCTCATGGGCATCCTCACCGCCTACGTGCTGTGCTGGGCGCCCTTCTACGGCTTCACCATTGTGCGCGACTTCTTCCCTTCCGTGTTCGTCAAGGAGAAGCATTACCTCACCGCCTTCTACGTGGTCGAGTGCATCGCCATGAGCAACAGCATGATCAACACCGTGTGCTTCGTGATGGTCAAGAACAACACCATGAAGTACTTCAAGAAGATGATGCTTTTCCACTGGCGTCCCTCCCGCCATGGGAGCAAGTCCAGCACCGACCTTGACCTCAAAACCAGTGCGGTGCCGGCCACCGAAGAGGTGGACTGTATCCGGCTGAAGTGAGCTGCTGGTGTTCTGGAATTGAAAATCCGGCTTCAGTACTCAGAGCATTGCACACCATCAACCAAGTCATAGGCTGCGTGGGAAGGGACAGCTGCCCTCCATCTTCCTGCCCTCCAGGAGCTGGAAGCTTCTCAGTCATAACACATGACGAGTCCAGACCCCAACCACCACAGCCAGCATTCACTGATACCTACTGCACACCCCCTGCGTGCATGGGCACAGCGACTCAACTAGACTCAAGTGGCAACAGGTAGCATGGACCACACACCTGCATTGAGCGGACCACACCAATGAGACTGCACAAGGACAACGGGGACTGATGCTTACTAATGCAGTACTGTGTGCAAAAGCACTGAACACCGAAGCAAAGTGGCAGAAGCTATTGCAGTCATCAAGCCACGAGTGTGGATCTATAAATGACTGGACAGAGGCCCCACATGGTTATCTGGACTCCTACCCTGTTCCTTCATTCTGTAACTTATCAGGTCAGGGCTGCAGGATAAGGCACTGAAACACAATAGAAATGCAGGAACAAGTTCATCAGTATGGAGTCCACTACCCCATAAGAAGAGTTAATGCCAACACAATGGCTTTCCCCACCCAGCTCCACCTTCTCCTGAGATATTCTCTAGTCCATACTCTAAATAGTAGTTTTTCTTGCAAACAGGCCACCCTAATGTGATTCTCTACCATAGTGTAATTTCACAGGAAAGAAGCAAAAAATCACCACCACCACCGATACTCGGAATCTTGTCATTCTGTTGGGTGATCTTGAGAACACATCCAATTACTGAATCTTCAATGCTAGTGATTTCAGGAGCTCTGAGGTCCAGAGGAACAGTCAGGAGAAAGGGATGAAGGCTGCCACTGGTGATGAACATAACTGACGTGGTCACTTTGCTAGGACCTGGACCATTTCTTAGAACACCCCTGTTTTATAAGAGGAGCCTTTCTTGGCATCCCAAGTCCTGAGTTCAAGTCCTGACTCTAGGGCTCATATGACCTAGATGTTTCTTTTCTATATCTCAATATGGTTTTAATGAAATGGGGACAGTGAAGATATCTTCTGTGCCTGATGCTTACAGTACCATCAGGAGAGCCTTTTAAGGTCATAGTCTATAAATATAATTTTCAACTGTACATGTGGCAAGGATGAATAGGTGTTGTTGAACAGCTTGGAGGGAATTTGTTTAGAAACCCATTTCCTGTGGTTTATATGAAGAACCACTTCCATTTTTTCATCCTTGTTCTTCAGACCAGAGACCCCTGAACTCCTCACAGTGACCCACCGCGTGCTTGGGCACAATGACCCAACTAGACCCATGTTGCATCTACACTGGGGGGAGAAATGGCTTCTCTGTCCCGGGATATCATCAAGATAGTGGAGACCCGGACTCTCAGCTTCTCTGGGTCTTAGAGAAATGTTGACAGTCCACCCTGTATGCTGTCATCGTCCCACCCCAGGGCTGCGTAAGTGTCACTTCTAAGTCCATTTGTGTTATTACACATCTGTGCTGGTTGTGATACCCTCATTCCTTCCTGATTCATCTTGAAGCAGAGACTACAAATGATACCTGATTTGAGCTTGGCCCGTCCACATTTGGTCAACTCCTAACTGTCTGTAAAGAAGGAATTATTTAGTTGTCTTGCTTATTTTTAAAAATTATTTGTTGGTTTGTTTCTCCACCCATGAAGTTTCAACCAATTTTTTCTATCATCAGCCAGCAGATTCCTCTTCAGCTTTGGCATTGAACCTTCAGAATATGCAAACTAACTCTAATATCAGCCTACAAAACATATAAATTCTGATTTTACAAAATCTCATGATGATGTATTCTAAAGTGAAGCAAAAAATCATTTTAGTCGTCTACATTTTCAAATATATAGTAATTGTGTTTTTATTTATTACCCTATCAGAAATCATTTTTTCCTTTTCATCCTAAAATATGCCATCCCTTTCATTTAAATTTAACTGAAAAAACTTGTAAATATCAGTGTTTTGTGATTTTTCCAGTGAATTAAAAGTGTTGTGCTGTTATCAAATGGGATAATTAACATATAGACTCTTAATCACAGTGTTCACATATTTCCCTGCTATTCTTTTATATAGTGTTAGTATATTTAGATATAAGTGAAGTCATAGCCGTCTGAACAGCTCAGACCTGAACAGAGAAAGAATTTATCCAAGGTGTTTTTAGAACAGCAGTAGCTCAGACCAAAAGCCAATGTCCTCTCTCGTGCATCCCACCCAGGTGAGTATTCTTGTCTGAGAGCAAGCAGAAGCGACTGTACTGTGTAATGCTACCCCTTCATTTTGAAACTGCCTTGTTTAAATGTAAGCTGCTGTTTGGGTGGAGACTATTCATCCCTCCAACTGGAGTTAAGATAATAAATATTGCATTGTGTTTACTCTTCTCAAGACTGGTTAATAGTAAGCTTAAGATACTGTGGATGTGCTAAGATATATACACATTTATACATATTATTATATATTGAGAATTTAATCTCATTTGGCAAAACATATATTTCGTCTGCCAGAATAAAACATGGCTCTGAAGTGACATTCTTAGAGATTTTTCTTTCAGCATCCAACATTTAAAATAAATTGCTTCTCAAAGTAGAGAAATCAAAAGATAGCTTTAAGACCTCAGGCATGAAGACCAATTCCACACTTCACAAACAAAAATGTGACATGTGAGAGGTAATTAGAACAGTGAGTTCTATTTTCAGCAGAAAATGATGGCTCCAAAACACATCCTTCCAGTTCTGGCACCCTTGGGCCCTAAAGAATGCACACACCTGCCGATAGGATACCAGACCAGGAAAGGCCTCAGGGGCTGATAATCCAACTCTCTCCTTTCTTAGGTGGAATATGAATTTCATGTGAAGAAATTACTTGCTGGCACTTGCTGGAGCCAAAACTGCCCCAAGATTTTTACCTCTGGGCCAGTGGACAGCACTCAGGGCCGCTTAAATCTGAGTCACTGAGAATACCTGAAGGGCCTTTTAAGTTGCATCTGGCCTCACAGACTTGATCTGTGTGGAAGGCACTTTTCTTCCCTCTCCATCCAAGGGAACTCGTGATCCAGATGCTGGATTCCAGGGAAACCGCGGAGAGTGACCCCAGGACTGCTTCGCCACCTTTCCTTCCTCCTTGGAGAAAGGAGCTGTTGCCAAGCGGTGCTGAGGCCTTGGGGAGAAGGAGGCTGGCTGAGAGGCAGGACAGCAGGTGTGGGAAGAGGGGTTTCTGTGCAAAGACAGAGGATGCCCGGGCCACCCAGGGCAGCAGCTGACCTGAGCGGTGACCATTCTTCTTGCCTCCCAGTGAGACAGGCAAGACGCTCCTGACTCTCACATTTTCCCCTGCACCAGCTGGGAGGAACATGGCTTGGCCAGTAACTGTTGCACCCCTCCACATCACTTTCCTTTGTTCCCCACCCCCCAGCTCCCAATGGACTGGGACAACTTGCTTCGGTGTCTTCCATGGCTGTCTAGCAGCCACTCTTCCACTCCACTCCACCATGACCTACAGCGGCACTGTCAGTGCTATGCCCCTCCCCTATGAATGCCATCAGACTGTTGCCCTTTGAAGAAGAGGAGGAAGCACCCTAGAGTGGCTAAGATCAGGGAGGGAGGGATCTGGGCCCATTGTTAAATCCCTAGCCCCCTCACAGCTAGCCTTCCAGAAGATTCTCTGGTTTCTGCCCTGCTCCATCTCTGGATGCTGTCATGACAGCTGCAGCTGCCCTGAAGGCACCAATCACAGACCCACACTTGGACCAATCACATGGTTCCAGCTGCAATATAAGCAACACTGCCCAGCCACTTCTCTGGTTAATCTAGGAGGGTTCCCTCCTGTATACTGACCCCCTTATACTGCAGCACAGTCTCTGTTACAATAAAAGCTGACTTTGGTGTTCCTATAAACCTGCTCAGGTAGTATGAACTCCAAAAGTCCTGTAAATCTATTCAGAATAGGAATCCTGAGTAGTGTTTACAGAGGTCAGTTCAAAAGAAATAGCATTAAGCAGTAGAGGCTGTTAGCACTGAAGAATTCCAGAGACTAGCAGCCAATGAAGAGCAGCATCAGAGATCAGCACCCAGTAGAGTCAGCCTACAGTGTCAGCACAATACAGCACTGGACAGTGGTGGCCAGCAACAGCAGTGACCAGCAGCTGGCCATGTCAGCTATAGGAATCCAGCATTATCTGGTGACATAAAGACAGCTAGCAGAGTTGCATTTTGCCAATTCATGATTTCTATATCAACTGAGCAAAAGACCACCAGGCTGATTAGCAATACCTGGAATCCAAAGTCTTGGGTCGCCAGGTCGGCCTCCCTCTTGAGTTGTGTCAATCACCAACCAGGAACACATCACCTCCTGGGATTCCTGGTGCCCTCTCGAACAGAGTGGCCAAAGTCATTAAAAGGAGACCATCTAATATACATGTCCTCTTTATTCTTGGATACCATATTGATGAATTTGCTTATAAACTAAATTTTATCTATAACCTCAAAATTAGCACTCATTTGCTTTCATAGTTGTTCAGCGCACACACAAAATGGTAAAATTTTTGATTCAACGAGGTTTATGTTCCCAGCTGAGGTCAAACCAGCCAACACTCTGCCTTCTGGTCGCAGCTCTAAGGTAAACAAGTATCCTTTTCAAGGTCTAGTTAGTGTCATGTTATTTGCATTTTCGTACTTTTCCATGGTAACTTCCCTGAAATGCCGTGCTGAAGGAATGTCTGGTGTTTCTAAGTACAGAAAGTGCCTTTTAGAGAAAAATAAGCGCATTAGAGAAACTTCATTCAGACTTGAGATACAGTGTTGACCATGAGTTCAGTATCAATGAACCAACAATATATATTAAAGGAAGTGTCTTTAAACAGAAACACAGAAAACAAAGTCATGTACTGACTGGATGACAAAAATATCTTGACTAGTGGCTTGCAGAAACATAACCCTGAGCTTCCCTTATTAGCAATGATTCAGTATTTGCTAAATCAGCATTCAACATAACTTTATAGAACGTTACTGTGAAGAACAAGAACTCACTGTAATCTCTTGAGTTCCAATGTCTTAAAACATCACTTCAGACAGTAGTTGATTAAAACCACATTGGCCATGACTTTAACTGACCAAACTGTCCCTTCTTGCAACAGCTCTTCTGCCCCTCCTTCCTCCTCAAGTCTGCCACTTTGATGCAAATTGAGACCCTCTGGAAAGGAAGGTTTGAGATGGATATTCACACCTACCAAAGCACAGCCCACACTTTCTGGGGACCACATGTTGTAGGAAAATGTCTTTCTCCCCCAGGTGAAAACTTGAAAGCTATAGCTCATCTGTTTTGTAATATTGCTATGGAATGAGAAGAAAACCAAACACCCTCCCCATCCCAACTGAAAAGGAGGATAGTCCTTGGATAAGAGTTGTAATTGAGGTTTTTGGTGACAATGTCTAAGCTTTACAAAGTGATCTTTGCAGACTCAAGGGAACAACAGTAAGAGGCAGTTCTGCTTCTTACTCCCGGGTGCATGACATGGAGGAGAAGATTGAGACAGAGAGAGCCACGGGTCTTCCAAGTACAAGGGTGAAGTTCAAGTCCACTGAGACACGTGGTCTAGAAAACTATGGGGCATGACGGAAAATGTGATTTTGCCTCCTTGTGGGTTTCAACTGTCTCCAACAGGTACTGTTTGTTCTTGGGGAAGAAAGGAGAGGGGGAGAGAGAAGGAGAGGTAGGAGAGAGGGAGGGAGCAGCCACATGTCTCTGCATCCCCCTCTGCAGTATTCACTGAGAAGCATGAAGGACAAAGAGGCCTGACTACAAATATGCAGAATTGGAGAAGGCCTGGGAGAAAGAGCTCATCCTGGGCTGCCCTAGGGGACCCAGAATGTCAAAAGCCACCTCCCACTGCCCTGCCTGAGTCCCGGGTTAGCCTCATACACACAGCCTCTCAGTGCCAAGGAAAGTAGGGCTGGGGATGAGGGGTGGATCCTGGTGAGGCAATGCTCTTTGGGTAAGCAGTGGTATTTCTACCAAGGTGAGCAGGAACAAGATAGAAATGTTTGCGCTCATCCCTTCCTTTCCATATAGAACAGAGGTCAGCACAGTAAGACAAGGGGGAAATCTTACAAGAATTAGAAAAGAATTCATTGTCTTTAGTAAGAACAAACTGCCCAAGGCCCTGAGTTCAATTCCAAGGAGGAGGGGGCAGGGAGGAGGAAGAAGAAGAAGAGGAAGAGGAGGAAGAAGGAGAAGGAGTATGGGTAGGGCTAAGGGGCCCAGAAGAAGTGACCTGGGTCCCAAAGACTGTAGCAGAGGGCAGCATTACTGTCCTTGGGGATAGAGAGGAGCCCAGGAGCCCAGCGAGAGCTGGAGCCAAGATAGAGAGGCCTCTCCTGCAGGGACAGAGCCCCTTGCAAAAGCATAGGAGGAGGGTGGTCCTCCTCCACCATCTGCCCACAGGCCTCATTGCCTCCTTCCAGGGAGGAAGGACAGCAGAAGGGTTCAGGCAGCCCTACAGGGAGGGTCACAGCCACAGCCGCTGCAATGCCCATTCTGACTTTCACCTCTCGTCCTGTCCCCACCAGGACAGATTCCTGCCCCTCTCAGGCACAAACAATTGTCCTGCCTTTAATATGTGCTTCCGTACCTGCTTCTCAGACTCAGTTCCTTCTTCTTTTTTTTACAAGTTTATTTATGTCATCTTCATCTCTTCTTGTTTTCACGTAGTCCCGATTTCATGTTCATTGCCAATTTAGTGACTTTTAAAAATATGGTTGCCATAACAACCTCTGCAAAAATTACAAGCTGGCTGCATTATTTAGCAGTTGGCATGTCCCTTCTCTGAAAGACATCCTGGTGAAAGAGGGAATGGGTTTCCATATTGAGTTAGCACTG